AAGGAAGGAAGGAAGGAAGGAAGGAAGGAAGGAAGGAAGGAAGGAAGGAAGGAAGGAAGTTTATTGGATTGCTTTTGTTTGCGTTGAGAATAAATCTCACAGCTTCAGATACCAGAGAAGTCTCTTACTGGAGGGAAGTAGGCTCCTTTGATGCTTGAAGAGCTGCTGGAGGATGCCCCGGTAACGTGAGCTCTGTCGTAAGGTGGGCCGCTGCTTCCTGCCATGATGCTAAGCGAACTGATCACAGACTTGCCACGGGACATTCCTAAAAACCAAAGAAATCCAGTTAAAGGCTTGGAGGAGAAGCTATTTATTTAAGCATCAAACGTCCAACCCAATTTAACAGCAGTCCTGTTTGCTTCATGGTCACGATGATGCGGGGGGCCATGCTGAAGAGTTCCTCCTCACACATTACGCACTTCTTCACAGAGACCCAATTCCAAATACTGGGGAAAAGGAGGGGACAAGACCAACAGCAGAAAGACCAGCACTGCAAAACAACTCTGCCTGCAGCTCAGAGACTCGATCCGGAGGAGAGCCCAGGGCAGGCTTTGTGAGGAGCAAAGTGGGGCAGATGTAGATCACCCTTCAGATCTACCTCCCTGGACCGTCAGAGGTATTCTGGGGAAGGGGAGGACTTGAGATTCCAAAAATCTGTGCCTGAGGAGTCTGTTCGCCCCCCCCCCCAATCCTTCACACACTAAGGAAGAGATTTGATTGATGTACACTTTTAGACCCAGTTGCCTTCCCAAATAGGAGCTACTCATACACCTTTTACGAGACTTCCAGCCACGTTGGACATTTGCTTAACTAGCAAAATGCCCGGCTGGCCTCCTGCCTGTTGTATCCCTCAGCATTTTCCAAACTTTTGGAAAATGGAAAATTTTGCTTTCATTTCCTTTCCAATTAACAAGGACAGCAGCAGCGTTGTGATATCAAGATTACATCAGGACCCTCAGCTTCTGCAGCCTGCAGGGGCAGTCCCTTTTCCTGGGAGATGTCTCGGCTCACTCCTTCTGCCCAGGGTTTCGTTTCCATCTGAAACCAGGGTGGACACGGTCGGATCCATCTTCCCTCCGTTCCAGAGACCCGTGGACAGATACACACAGAGTTCCTTCGGACACTGTTTACAATTAGCATGTTGTGTGAAGAAGGATGAGGAAAAACTCAGGGCTAATCTGAACTGCTAATAAAATGCTTATCAGGGATCATGATAAATTCACAACAAACGGTATTACTGAACTGCTGACAAAAATGTCTGAAGTACTATCTGTGCACAAATTTGGAAAATAGCAGGCTGCTAGTTGCATTCCTACTCCCGTAAGATTAGGTTTTGGACTCCTTTGATGCACACGCGTCAAACCTGATGTAAAAAGCAACGACAATCTGGACTGATTTCTATGTGAGGTCATCAAAGGTCATTGTTCATGACACATCATTGTAATGATTACTGTCTCCTGGGGGAGGCCTCTGGATCTTTATCCTGCTGTGCTTTCCACTGTTAGAAATGTTTTTTGAAAAAACTTGGATGAACGGGGAGAAGTGGAGAAAGGCAACTCTTCAGCCTGGGTGAGGGTCAATAAAGGCAGCATCGCATGAAATTATCAGGAGTTCAGCTCAATTCAAGCACTGCCAAATGTTTCTTAAAATATATATTTGCTCTATGATTTCTTTGATGATTTTGTCACCTGACTGATTGCTTTCTTGGAGTATCTGTGCACCAGGTTGTTATGTCTACCTTAAAATACTATACACAGCATTTTCGGTATCATTTTCAACACTGCGAAAAAAGGTATTAAAAGCTCTGGTTGACACACATCAGCAAATGTTCTCTGGTCTACCTAGGAAGAAAAGATGATGTACAAGGCTGACCTGGAAGAGATCCAGAAAGGGAGCTTGGGTGAGGCACATAACCCAGAGGAACAGAAGGTGGCCCATGAACCGCATAGTCATTGGTCATGGCTTCGCCATCGCCCTTCATGCGCGGGCACAGCACTCTCTGGCAAACGAAGTACATAGCACCAACGACAAAGACTGTAAGAATCACACCAATGATGGAGCCTATTGTATTGGTGGCTGGTGGGGCTGGTTCTTCCGTTGTGTCTAAAAGGAAGGAGAAAAATCAAACTTAAAAAAAAAAAAAATTACAGCCCTGTAGAACTTCTTAATGTGTTTTGGAATCTGCCCAGTTATATATATTAATGGGAAGTGAAATTATCACACAATAACTGACCTGTTTCCTTACACTGATACTTGCCACAAAAACTGAGCATTTTCACACATGAGCAGCCCTCCACGGGGTATATAAATCAAGGCTAAATTACAGAGGACAAGTCAAACCGAATGTGCCACGTCCCGTCGCCCATAGCAGGACACCATTAGGACATGAAGGCTAAGTCGGTGATGCGGCAAAGCTTGCTTGCTTGCTTGCTTATTGATTGATTGATTGATTGATTGCATGCCGCTGAATAATTCTGACTCCCAGCAGCTGAACAGAAGAGACACAAAAAGCAAGCCTATTGGCATACTTACAGCAGCCCTGTTCATCTGAACTGTCGTAACAATCCAGGTTGTGATCACATTTCTTGCTCTTCCCGATGCACTGACCGTTAACACACCGGAACTGATCTGTTAAACAGCGGACTGGAGGAGGGAAAGTAAATCCATCACTAATCGATGAGAGGAATATTTGAAACTGCAAGGTAAACGCTCAGCATAAAAGACGTAGACAACTGACAGCATCAAACAAGTTCCCGACCTTGGACCGTGTTTATTGTTGTTCACCTTTTTTAAACATTTGCAACTTGCCGTTTAAGGCAAATGTCCCCAGAGAAGTGCACAATGAAAGGTAAAGCCACTACAAACAAGCCCACGATCTGCTCAAACGGGATACGTAAACTAGATAACAAGCTTTGCAAACGGTAGTTAATAAGCGCCCGTCTATTTAAAACAGGTCCGTCTTAGTCTGAGTCCGAAAACTAGCCATGATGGGTCCTGATGGGGGTTAGCTGGAATAGGGTTCCACCAGCAGGAAACCCCAAGTGGAAAAGCTCCATCCTTCTTCGCTGAGATCCTAATGGCTTCAACAGAAGGACAAGAAAGGGATTTCAAAGTTGCAGGTGGCTTATTCAGGGTGGGAGCGGGCCTCACGGTAACTTGCACCGTTTGCCAGCATGACAAAAAAGGGTAGAATTGCACTTCCAAACAGCACAAAAAGTGCCAGTGCTGGCCACAACTGCACTGTGGACAACCCTGCCAACCAGTCAATTTTGGTCTACCTAACCAGCAGCTCCTGGAACCCCAAGTTGTCGAGATAAAGCCTCCAAGCCATTGTGGAAATCACCCAACCCCGATGTCCCTGAACAAGGATAAACAAACGAAACCCATCTTGAATTGATGGGGCTTTTCCTTCTCTGTTTGTTTATTCACAGTGGGGCACTCTGCACACCCAGCGGGGGCCATAAACAAATAGTTGCTTCCTTTGAAAGCCTTGCTTGACATATCAGAAGCCTTTATCCTGCCCCATTTTCATGCCAGATATGAGGGTTCTAGAGAGTCCCAGAAAGGTTACAGAAGTAGAGTGGAAATGAACCAACCCCAAACCATGGGGGAGAGGAAAATGAGTAATCCTAGCAAAGGAAATAAGAGATTGGACCAATGAGGATTAACAAATTTATGGCACACTTTATTAAAGAGTTAAAAAAAAAAAAATTACAGTGCTGCACTGATTGTACCAAATCTCCTCACGGCATCCTTTTAGAAATAGGAACTTTGTCGAAGTTTTTGGTAAATCAGCATGTTTAAATATTCATTTCTCTAAGTCAGAGCCTGTCTGTTAAACACCGCCATGACCATACAAAATATATTAAAGGAACCATCAAGACTTAAAACCTGTAAACACGTTCTTTTAAATATCTACAGGTTGACATTCCTAAAAATGCGGGCAACAGTTGAACTTCAAATCATTAATTCATTCCTCAGTTAGTTGCTGGAATTCTTGCAATCCCATCCCTTTGTCTTCCAAGAAATCTGCTAAGGGGAGCTCTGTGAGAGCCGCCTTCCCGGTGGGTCAGGGCAATTGTCCCAACGTCTCTCCTACGACAACTCCTACGTCAGTCGGAAACATGAATACCTTCACACTTCTCTTCGTCTGAGTTATCCTGACAATTTGGTTCTCCGTTGCACTGCAGGGTGGCATCAATGCATTGCCCGCTCTCACACTGGAACTGAGAATCGGAGCACACGGGGCAATTCTTCTCGTCACTGGCATCTTCACACTCCGTGAACCCATCACAGCGCCAGGCAACAGGGATGCAGTCAATCTCTCCTGTGTAGCATGTGAAATGTTGCGGGGAGCAAGTTGGAGGCTCTGTTGAGGGGGGTGGGAAAAGGCTCTTTTTCAAGATGGAACAAGACAGTAAGTAGCTGTCTGAGCAAGTGGCAAATCTCTCTGAGGAAGCTGGAATTACATTTCTGGAAAACGGGAATCAGGGATTTGTTTGAATCACACACTGACTGGACTCTGTCAGCTCGTAACCCATGGCTCTAGCTGGACATCAGGGTCCAGGCGGAACTGTCACACTGGCACAGGAGGGAAAGACACGCACCCTCCTGCTTTCGGAGGAGCTGCTGTGCCAGACCTTTGCAGAAAGACGCGCCCTGTGGCACCTTAAAGACTAACCAGTTTATTACTGGAGAATCTTTTGTAGATCCTAGTCCTTTTCATGATCCAAACAGGTGCCAAAACCACCCGCCCAAGTCAACTGTGATCTATGAGCTAAGCAGCAGAAAACTCGTTCATCTTTGTGGTGACATAAATCTGTTACTAATCTCAGGGTCACCATTGTTTCAAGAAAAACATCCACTTTAAGGCTTTAAAAAGAGCCACTTTCTACACCCCACGAACACAAACAGGTGCTCCAAAAAGTTTGTGAGTAGCCACGTGTGGAGGCCGAGAAGCCAAAGCAGTGGGTGACCAAACATTCCAACGGCTGGAGCGGGAATCGCGCTTCCCCCTTTCTTCTGACTCACAAAACCAAAATAAATCATGCAAGTAAAAAGAAAAATGGAGGTAAAAGAAAAAGCAAACAAAAGAAGAAGAAGAAGAAGAAGAAGAAGAAGAAGAAGAAGAAGAAGAAGAAGAAGAA